TGTTGATTCTGGAGCCAAGCAAACTAAAGCTGTTAACAGTCTCAATCTCTTCACCGCTGTCTATCATGATGCTGGGGAGAAATTAAATTTCCTACCTTTCAATAGCTGTGATTCTATGGCCCTGGTCACTGGTCAAAACAAAGATACAAGGTTCAGCAAGAACCTTGATGATTCAGAACACATTTAGTTCTGACGCTGACACTCAGTTATGATTTCTGTTTTACAGAAATGGAGCTGAACTAAAAGGGTAAGACACAATGTCGTCTCCAAAACGGTTTCAGATATTAAAAAGGCTCCAGGAAAACTGGCCTCATTTCGTTTATGCAAAACTTTCCTTCTGTACCCATTCTCCAGGCATTCTGGTATCAACAGTTTAGCTTTCTGTGCTAATAATGGTACCTTCCCAGTGAAAACCCAGCCTGATTAGGACACTGGGCCCTGCAGACACACACATCAGCCCCAACAGCATCACATATAATCAGTTTTATTGCCAGGTAAGAAATTCATATTAATATAGTGAATACATATGTTTACAAATAAACATTCTTAGAAAACAAACAAATGTTTTTTGTTAGTTTTTTTTTCTTCATTGTAGGAAGTATTATTGGTATCATAAACTTTGCAGTTGTTGACAAGTATTAACACAGGTTTACTTGCAGAACATACAGTTACTAAAATATCTGCACATAAAATATGCTCCATTTACACACACAAAAAAACCCTGGATGAGGGAATCAGGTGGGGAGGCCTGGCGGAACCCAAGGTGGATGGAGGCTGAGACACCGGGAAGGCAGAGAGAAGTTGGATGGTGGTCCCTCTGGATTTAATGTTGGGTGACAGCAAAAGGCATGATATTGAGGCTAGGGCCAGGCTGTGGGATGGAGAGGGGGTTCCCTCTTCTTGATCTCCCCATTCTAGCTACAGGATCCTTTCCTTTGTACATGGCATAGATACCTAGTGTACCCAGTTCCTTAATTCAGCCCTCTTTCAGCATTGCGAGGTCTTTCCACCTGCCCTAAAGGTCCAAGAACCAACCTACCTTCCCAGTCCAAATTTCAGCCTGCAGCTCAACTCTCAAGGCCACTTAGTCTAGAATGAAGCTGAGAAGGACGAGAGTCCTTGGATTGTCTTCACAGCTCTCTCTGATTAGCCAAGCTGACCCTTGTGCCAAAATTTTAAATGCAGAGCCAAAGTAGCCAAGTTCAAAATGATGAAGTTCAATCAGAAGAAGAGGAGCACGTGGTAGAAATGAATTCTATGGACTCAGAAACCAAAAAAGGGCCTGTGTCAAGGTTAGGGGTAAAGAGGAGATGAAGTGGGCTGAAGGCAAGGGGGGGAAAGTGAGCTAAAAGAGATAGTGGAAGTGGAAAATTTAGAACTGGAGAGAAACCTGCAGATAAGTCAATCCAGTATTTTTGGAAGTGCTGGCTGTCTCTCACTATCATATGTTGAAGATACATCAAGTACATGGACATGGCATAAATTAACAGAGTGACACAGGAAATTATCGTCATTTATGTTTTGATCTATCTAAGGACTTTGGGAAAAGTCTCCATTTCACAGTCTGTCTTAACACCTGTTGTTATAGCGGTCAGGTAATATCCAGTGCACTCATGGCTACTCATGTAGTACAGAGATGATGTATCCTGTATGACAGAATTTTATTGGCTGTGATCTTTACAGAAGTACACTGTGGGTCTTTTTCCTATAAAGTCACTGGGTCTGTTCGAACTGCCAACCTTTTGGCTAGCAGCCAAGCAGTTAATCATCGTCAACGGGGTTCCTTTCTGAAAGCTGGACAGTGAGTAATAAGGATGACAGTTGGACGCCTTGGAGTCGTGTTGGAGAAGAGTACTGAAGACCCCAGGGGCTGCCAGAAGAGCGAACACGTCTGTCTTAGAGGAAGTGCAGCCAGGAGGTGAGACTTCACCTCACATAGTGGAGCGTGTTGTTAGGAGGGGTCCGTCCTTGGGAAAAGACCTCATCATGCCAGCAAAGACAGACGGTCAGAAAGAGGGAGACCCTCCACGAGATGGACTGAGACAGCGACTGTTCACAATGGGCTCGAGTGTATCAGCGATGGTGAGGACGGCACAGAATAGGGGAAGATTCAGATCCATTCACAGGGTCATTCTGAGTCATGGTTCACTCAGCAGCATATAACAACAATCATCTCTTTCAAAGAAACTCTGTTGGCATAAGCCATAGGGAATTGCACTGCTGGCTGCAGCTCTGCTTTGGCGGTTCAAATCCATCAGCTGCTCTAAAGAAGAAAGATGACCAATCCCTTCCTGCGTGGTTTACAGTCTCAGAAACCAGCTGGTAGGTAAACTGTGAGCTGGGACTGACTCAATGGCAATGAGATTTAATTGAGAATTTCTATCAAATAGAGAGAAGAGGTGAGGAGAGGAGAAGAAAGCAAAGCAAAGGACGTGGAAAGAAGAATGAGACCTTTCCACACTGTCCAGCTAGTATCCATTAATGCAGTTTTGTTTTCTTTGTAATGATTTCTATTATTCTATTTATGGCAAGGGGTACTGGTTTTCTGTTTCGGATGGTGGTATGAAGCTTCCCTTTAAAAAGGAAAGAGAGAAAAATGAATCTATATAAATACAAACATTGTGAAGGTGATGCACAAATACGCCCCGAGGGAACTGCAGAGTGCAAATAATTAGCGTCAAGGAAACCCTGACCAAGCCCATGGTGTTTGCTCTTTAGAGGGCAGGGGTTTATATGCTCCACTCCTGCTCCACACAGCACAGGGCATCTTTAGAAACAGGAACTGTCTACAGAGGTTGATGAGATTTCATTGGTAACAATGGACAGAAGTGTTGCTGCTTCCAAAGGCTCGGTCCAGCCCCAAATTCTCACACTTTAGGTAAACAAATGAAGGCCCAGAGAGAAGAAAGGTATGGTCTCTAGACCAACTGAAGATAAGAAGGAGAATAAGAAGGAGAATAACCACTTGGTTTCCCTAAGTCTATGATGTCTGCTGAAGAAGAGAATGTTGGTTGGAGGTCAAGATTCGAGGAAATGCACAGTCTTGTTCAACCAGTACATCTGAAGTTTCTGGCCTCAAAGAAACGGCAACTCTTCTTCCTTAGCTTAAAACCCTGTCTGTTCTTAAGTGCTGTTGAGTCCATTTTGACTCATGGACTGTCCCCACGACAATGGAGAATCATCCCATCTAGGCCGCAAAGGAGCAATTACCATGTTTACTCCCATGTATTTTCTGGGTGAGTTCGAACTGTTAAATCCTTCAGCTAGCAACTGAATGCTTAATCTCTGTGCAACTCTTACAGACTGATATGAAGATGCTCATCTTGAAGGAAAGTGTCTTCTCCCTCAACACTCCCTCTTTGGGCTTCCACTAAGCAACCAGTACTAGTGACAGACTTGGCTTCCTTGGGGAAAGCACGGGCTATTGGCTACGGGAACCAATGTGAAAGTGAAACACAGACTTGGAAAGTTTTGGATGGAGGATGAAAGCATTTGTTTATCTGGAGAAATGGTTTGCAAGGTCCATGGGAACTACAGGAGCCAGAAATGCACGGCAGGCTTAGGGACCAGAAAATGTCAGGACTCTAATGGTTGTTGGCAGTACTGGGGAGAAGGGTCTTTCTCTGTCGATACCCTTGGCTGTGCAGCAGCCCCCTCAGAGGGTGCTAATGGGGTGGGTCCACCAAGGAGAGGAACGATTAGAAGCATCTGCTACTGCAGAAAAAACAGGAGGGAGGAAGGCTAAAAGAACACAGGGTGCACTTGGGGAACAAGACTATCATCAAACAACAGTAACACATTGAAGGCACCACCCACGCGTAAGTCATCTTCAGTCCGAAGCAGTTGAAGTTCGCAGCGGCGGCAGCAATGCGCTGAAGGGGAAGGAAGTCAGGGACAGACAGTTAACAGAAGACTTGTCTCGGTGTCTGTTTCCTGTCTCGAAGGCGAGGGAGAAACACCAGAAATGTAAGACTTCTCTCTGGGTCCCCTTCTCGCCTTGGGTGTAGACTTTTCCAGCTGTGGATTTTCTTCTTGTTGTCGATGTCGTTGTTGACTTCGGAAGTTTCCAAGATCTTAGACACAAAGGAATTTGCTGTTCTCATTTTGTAGTGGGCTTGTCATTTTATATTTAATTTTAAAAAAAAAGGTTAGGTTTTTGTTTTGTGGTTTGATTTTTTTTTCTTTTCTTTAATACTCTTTGGACCCTCTCCCTCCGCCAGAGAAGTCCACCCCTCCTCCCATTTTTAGTATCACAGTCTTTACGGAAGTTCTCGGAACTTTCTTTTCTCATCTCTGTCGGTGGGTTCAGGGTCTAGTTATTTTGTTTGTGTGTGTGTAAGTTCATGTGTATTGTTTTTCTTTTTTGCTTCCAACGTTGATGATATGAAAAGTTCTGTAAATAGAATGGTAGGAGTCCAGTGACTGTCTCACGCTTATCACCATTGTGTGCCCACTTCTTTCGATAATAAGATGCTCAGAAGTGCACACCTGCCTCCCAGCATAACTCCTCTTTATAAGAGTGGATTCTTCTCTCACTCCCATTCTCAACTCCTCACACCTTGACTCTTCTCACCCAGAAACAGCCAGCTCGGGACATGTGCTCAAGGTGGTCAATTTCTCTAAATTGTGCTACTTGTGTTCGTTTTTTGTCATCATGGATTTCGGTTTCCAGCTAGAAGAAAAGTTAACCCCAGAGTTTGGGCACCCGGGAGCCAGCCGTCTGGGGCCTCAAGTCACAAGAGTGTGTGCCTCAGTCTCCCCTCTGCTGTATTGCTCAAAGTCCATGCTCCAGTCTTCCTCAGCTGCCCACTCACATGCGTCAGGCATGACGCAGGAAAAGCGTGGTTCCGTGTCACCAGGAGGTGTGCGGACGGTTCATGTGGAGAGTGAGTTGTGTGGGGAGGGCAGGGAGGGAGTGGGCTGGGGGTGGTAGTGGTGGTTTGTTTTTTTTTCCTCTCTCAGTGGACTGTGGTCTCCAGGATGCTCCCTGCTGTGGCGGCTCAGACAGTCACTTCTGTTTTGCTGTTGGTGATGAAGTATGGCTGTGGGGGTGGGTAGTGTTGGGTGCGAGTCCCCAGCGGGTCGCTGGAGCCAGACTCGGCCGTGCCCAGCTTGCCCTTGTTGCCATAGGCCTGCCGCCGGAGGGACTGCTCGTTGGGGTCCCAGCCCTTAAAGTTGGTGGTGGTGGTGGTGGTGGTGGTGGAGTTGTAGGCCAGCGGGTGTGGGGGCATCTTATTGGGACGGGACTTCTGTCCGTTCTGCTTGGTGGGCCCGTGCTCGGGGCTGAAGGTCCGCGGCTCGTCCTCCACTCTCACGGGGTGCAGGGGCAGGTTGCCCTTGGCAGCCAGCTCGGCCAGATGCCTTCGCTTGGAGTAGAAGTCGTCACTGGCCTTGTCGGCTGTACAGGGGGAACAGGCAGAAAAAGGAGGGGAGGAGAGAAACAGAGAGAGAATGTTAAGAATTGACAGGTAAACCAGAGAACAGCATAAAAAGTAGGCCTACACGTCGAACGAGACACACATTCAGAGGCTGCAGCTGGAACACGACAGAAGGAAGGGGTCCTCTCTAGGAAAAAGAGTGGGGTCAAGAGGTGAGAACACCCCACAGTGGAACCTCTGCTATTAACCACGTGCTGCTATTAAATCAATTCCAACTCATGGTGACCCCACTGTTATCAAGTAGAACTATGCTCCAAAGGGGTTTCTTTGACTGTGATCTTTATGGAAAGATTGCCAGGCCTTTCTTCCACGGCACAGCTGGGTCGTTGGCACCCACCCACCTCAGTTAGCAGTCACACACACACCCCCCATCTGTGCTATCCAGGGACTCTCTCAACCCTCTTCAAGATACATTCTTCAAGTAGACACTCTCACAACTTTTTACCCAGTTCTTTTTACTTTGCTTTTTTTACATGACTCAAGCACTGTCTCTTCAATTAACAGGATGCATTCTCAGAGAAAATGTTCGACTATGTGGAGGGACATTCATGTCTCCCGTCTACCACTCAAGACAGCCACTACCAACACTGGGATGGATCTGCTTCTGGTCTTCCTAGTAAACAGCTCACTTTAGAATTTTCATTTGTCTATTTGCTCCTTTTCATTTTTTGCTATCATTCAGCTGGGCCGTGCTCAAATTCCCACACTGCCACCTATTAGCTGTGCATCTCTGACTAAAGTACTCAGCTCCTATTTCTGCTGATCGCTGAAAATGGACTGGAATCACACTAAGAATATCTATTTGCTAGAGTTGTTTGAAAGTTAAAAGATGTGATCTATATTGAAGTGCTCATCCGTCAACCATTCCTACCGCCATCATTTATATCGTAAATGACGGCTTCACCTTCTCTTGTGACAAGCTAGCAAGCGTTTCCCATGTTATAAATGGTTAACAAACAGGATTTTTGTTTCATTCAGTAGAATGACCAAAATCAATCAATCTTCCTTTTGATGAATATTCAAGTGATGTCAATATTTTCCTTCTATAAATCAGGACGAGACGAAAATCAATCTCTGTAGTTACACTTTTAAGTTTAGAATAACGTCTTAAAGTTGCTTGATTTGCTCACTTCAAGAACCCCCTTTCCATGTTCTCATCTCTACCTTGCTGTCATTTCACTACAGGAACCTTTAATGTCTTAATAAGCCTGTTCAGTCTCCTCTCAAGTCAGGTCAGAAACACTTATGGCTCATTCCCTCATGTTCTAACATTCCAAGTGATTGCATCTATGGGTTTATGTCCATTTGTACAAACCATCACAGTTCCATGCTGCTTTGCTCTTTGGATTTTTAAGTGATGGGAAAGATGGGGATTATTCCCCTTGTTTGGCAGAGAAGAGAAGAGTTTAGTCCAGGTTCACGAGGTAATGCCTTTTCAGAAAGTTTTGAAAAAGACACTCAGAACTAACTATTGCCATATCTGTGCAGCTGAGGCAATGGAAGGTAATTGCTGAGCCCCACGTGCCTGACCCCAACCCTGTCGCAAACTCAACCATCATCTTCTCTGCTCCTCTAAATTGGTCCATTGGTGTGCCTCGGCACGAGGTAAGCCCGTAAGCCTAGAACTATCACTAAGTCTTGGAGATAAGACATTAATGAATGAGAAGGTCTGTGGGTTCTGGAATCAGACAGATCTGAGCTTAATGTTATCTCTGTAATGCCTCTTAACCTCGTATGCTTCCATTTCCTTCCGTGTAAAATGCAGACAACAGGCCTTAGAATCAGGATCATGCCGAGGAATAAATTTCGTGAGTTACGTAAGATACACAGCACAATAGCAACAACTACCAACATGCCAAAAGAATCACGAAAGCAAACAAATCTGTCCTGAAAGAAGTGAAGCCAGGGCGCTTGTTGGAAGTGAGAACGGTGAGACTTCCTCTCACATATTTTGGGCACGCTCTCCTGAGGGGCAGGGCCCTGGAAAGGAGCCTCATGCCTGGAAGAGGAGAGGGTCGGTGAAGGAGCGGAAAGACTTCAACTAGATGGACTGACACAGTCACTACAACCGTGGGAGACCGGTGCAGGACTGGACAAGGTTTGGATCTGTTCTGACAGGTACTGGAGTTGACTCAAGGTGACAAGTTCAATAAGCATATTTTGTCACTTGCCTTATGAAAGAAGCACTGGGTGAGAGTCAACAGATGTATATCAAGTACCTAGTCTGTGCCAGGTGAGCTAACAGTTGTAAGGGGGGTAGTTACCAAATCAGGGGAGTTTTCTTCCTTTTTCCCTTTCTGCCATCCACCAGGTTGGTGGAATGTTGAAACTGGGCATTTAAAAAAAAAAGAAGAAGAAGAAGAAGAAAACTTGATCTGTATTGTGAGAATGGGACAGGGAAGCCTTCCTTGATGAAATTCACTTTATCTGAGTTTTAAACTATGAAGAATAACATAAGAAACTCTGTGGCAAGAAAACATGTAGCAAATTGAATTTTTTTTTCTCCCCATTGAAACGTGCACTCTATGGTGGCGCTTTGTTACCCTTTGAGTCTGGAATAAAAGTCACCCCTATGGCTTAACTTTCAGGTGAACACTAGACAGGTAGAGCCCTGGTGGCATAATGCATTACATGTTGTGCTGTTACCAGGAGGTTGGCAGTTCGAATCCACAAGCTACTCTAAGGTAGTGAAACTGGTAGTCTCTTGCCATAAAAATTTACATACAATCTCTGTAAATGTTGATTAAAATTAATAAAATAAAAAAATTACATACAGCCTCAGAAACCTGATGAAGAGTAACTATGTGTGAAAATGAACTCAAAAGAGCATGTTTTACCTACAGATAAAGGTCTGGAAGGCAGGCAGGGATAAGTAGGAGGATTAATGGAAAGGAGAATCACGGAGAGGGAGTAGGAAGAGTGTGGTTACATTGTGGGTACTGGCATTAATACAGGGAAAGAAAATGTGTATGATTTAAAAAAACCAAATTGCTTGGCAAGATTTCTATCTTTCAAATGTTGTTGTTGTTGTTGTTGTTGTTGTTGTTATGTGCTGTCGAGTT